ATTAATTGATAAGACGTTTTTTAAGTTATAACTTTATGTTATAACTTCATTAATCACTTTATGTTATAACTTCATAAGACTCAGCATTAATATATTTCTAAAGACATGTTCTCTTTCAGTGTTTTAGCGTTGTATGTAGTTAAAATATACAGAGCCAACCTGGTTTTTCTAATTGCAAGATCACAATCACATAATGGAGAGTCACTCCATGAGAATTCGAGAAGGCTCTTTGATCCTGCCCTGCATTTTTGTGGGTAAGTATCTGTTTGGTGTCTCGATTGAAAAACTGTATTTTATAGTCGGATCTCTGGACAGCTATCACTTTTTTTTTATCAAGAGAGAATCTGAGAGATAGGATAGACCCTTTTCACTTCTAGAATCAACTGAAGGAGATACATGTTTGTCATGAAAAGACCTAAACAGAAAACAATGGGGAAATCAACCAAGGGTATGGATCATTAAGCTTAGTAAAGATATCAGTTATGGTTAAAACAAAATCAAATTAAACCATTTCCAAGTAAAAAAATAACACCTGACTGGATGTGGTAGAAATGAGCAATCCGTTGGCATCATCATAGAACAACCACCCTTGGATTCAGGAATATTGCAACGTAGGGATTGATGTTGTATATAGGCATGTGATAAACCACCCGGGCCTACATTTGGCTGTGAACTTGAAAGCCTGTTAGACATTCACTTTAAATTTTCATTTTATGATGGGATTGAGTCTCTTAAAGTTGTATATATCAAAAAAATATCGCATGCTATCACTCATAACCATTACACAAGGGATTTTTTTTTTTTAAGATGAAAAAGATAAATGGCTTACATCTTAAGCAGTGCTGAAAGCTCCTCAATACTCTTGATTCAAGCCTTTCCCCTAATCTATAAGGAAAGGAAACAAAAAAATGATGATAGAACATATTAGTCTAGATAGATGAAGATAATATTATCAAGACAAGTCTATTGCAATTAAATCTCAATCATATCCGTATGCTCCATACAGTTCTCAGTGCAAGAAAACTCTTTCAAGCACAAGTCTCTTTCAACCTCGGGAACTTTATATGCAACTTTTGTTCTAAAAATCAGGCGCCCAGCTGGCTAGGCACTAGGCGCCACTCATCCGCATCAATATATGTCATATCGGTCTAAAAGTTTAGATGTCTGGATTTAATATGTTTAGACTACCTAAATGATTATTTAACTTTCTAAATGGCTGTCTAGCCGTCTAACTGACCGTTTAGGTGGCCATCTAATTTATTTTTATTTTATTTTGTTTTTGCTATATTTTTATTCATTTATTTGATCTAAAATATTATAACTGCAATTTATTTGCATAATTTTAATTTTGGTGAAAATTATACTTTATTAAGTTTATATTTTATATTTTATGTGTTTATATTTTATAAGTCCGGGCATCTATTTTTCTTTTCTTTTAATATATTTTTATTCATTTATTTGATCTAAAATATTATAATTGCAATTTATTTGCATAATTTTTAATTTTGGTGAAAATTATACTTTATTAATTTTATATTTTATATTTTATGTGTTTATATTTTATAAGCCCGCCCCACGTTCTCCATCGTTCCGTCAAGCGAAGATTATTTGCAAGAAAGGGTACCTTAGTCTTCTTATCTTTTGAAGAAAAGTTTCATATTGTACCGAACCGGTCTTTTTTGGTTGTGTGCAAACCCCTAGACATCTAGATCCATTAAAGACACCTAAACAAAAATACTATTCAATGTGATCGTTGATTCAGCTTGCATGTTAGTCAAAAGATAGCTTTATTTATTATATAATGGTAACGATCATAACACGTGAGTTAGAAAATCGCATATGTAAAACATCAGCACAACCGTATATCAGTTAGTTTAGTTCATCTAAGGCGACCGGGCTGCCAATATGGTTCTCAACTCTACGAACACAATCATTCCATGTCTGCTTACTTCTCGGAATAGCCTTAGACACTATATTTCTATACTCGTAACTCGACAAAATCATCTGAGCCAATCCCAGATAACAATCTTTGCCAATCTTCAATAGATTACGACAACATTCATTTGTCAATAATTGAGTTGTCTCAGACACCGTGGTCTTCAAAACATTATCTCCACAGTCTGATGTGTTCAGCTTTTGAAAGCAAACCTCGAGAAAACCGAGTTGTTTGTCCGTGTAATCATGTCCAAACTTGATCTCATATTCCATCGCGGGTGTATAGGCTTCTTCAATTGGAGATTCTTCGGGAGATTCAACGCTAATATCAAAATCAGATGTAGGAGATATCTTAACATTTTCTGGTACTTCTAGTGAATATTGATTAGTTTCTTGGGAAGAAGTTAGATGTAACATGAAGAACACTACTATGTATACAAACAATGCAATGTGAAGAGACTTTGCCATATTTAATTTTGATATTAGTAGATGTATGATTGGTAATTTGGTATCAATAAACGAGAGATCTTATGTATAAGACAATGAACATGGTGTTTAACGGAAGCATAATTAATTGATCAGACGTTTTCTTAAGTTATAACTTCATTAATCCTTTTATGTTATAACTTCATAAGACTCAGCATTAATATGTTTCAAAAGACATGTTCTCTTTCAGTGTTTTAGCGTTATATGTAGTTAAAATATACAGAGTCCACCTGGTTTTTATAATTGCAAGATCACAATCACATAATGGAGAATCACTCCATGAGAACCCGAGAAGGCTCTCTGATCCTGCCCTGCATTTTTGTGGGTAAGTATCTGTTTGGTGTCTCGATTGAAAAACTGTATTTCACAGTCGGATCTCTGGACAGCTATCACTTTTTTTTATCAAGAGAGAATCTGAGAGATAGGATAAGCCCTTCACTTCTAGAATCAACGGAAGCCCTACATTTGGCTGTGAACTTGAAATCCTGTTAGACATTCACTTTAAATTTTCATTTTATGATGGGATTGAGTCTCTTAAAGTTGTATATATCAAAAAACATATCGCATGCTATCACTCAGAACCATTACACAAGGGACTTTTTTTTTAAAGATGAAAAAGATGAATGGCTTACATCTTAAGCAGTGCTGAAAGCTCCTCAATAATCTTGATTCAAGCCTTTCCCCTAATCTATAAGAAAAGGAAACAAAAAAATGATGATATAACATATTAGTCTAGATAGATGAAGATAATATTATCAAGACAAGTCTCTTGCAATTAAATCTCAATCATACCCGTATGCTGCATACAGTTCTCAGTGCAAGAAAACTATTTCAAGCACAAGTCTCTTTCAACCTCGGGAACTTTAGATGCAACTTTTGTTCTAAAAATCAGGCGCCCTGGTGGCTAGGCACTAGGCGTCCTGGTGGCTAGGCACTAGGCGCCACTCATCCGCATCAATTTATGTCATATCGGTCTAAAAGTTTAGATGTCTGGATTTAATATGTTTAGACTGCCTAAATGATTACTTAACTGTCTAACTGGCCGTCTAGCCGTCTAACTGACCGTTTAGGTGGCCATCCAATTTTTTTTTTCTTTTTAATATATTTTTATTCATTTATTTGATCTAAAATATTATAACTGCAATTTATTTGCATAATTTAATTGTGGTGAAAATTCTACTTTATTAAGTTTATATTTTATGTGTTTATATTTTATAAGCCCGGGTATCTATTTTTTTTCTTTTAATATATTTTTATTCATTTAAGATCTAAAATATTATAACTGCAATTTATTTGCATAATTTTTAATTTTGGTGAAAATTATATTTTATTAAGTTTATATTTTATATTTTATGTGTTTATATTTTATAATCCCGGCCCACGTTCTCCATCGATCCGTCAAGCGGAGATTATTTGCAAGAAATGGTACCTAAGTCTTCTTATCTTTTGAAGGAAAACTTCATATAGTACTGAACCGGTCTTTTTTGGTTGTGTGCAAACCCCTAGACATCTATATCCATTAAAGATACCTAAACAACAATACTATTCAATTTGATTGTTGATTCAGCTTGCATGTTAGTCCAAAGATAGCTTTATTTATTATATAATTGTAATGATCATAACACGTGAGTTACAAAATTGCATATGTAAAACATCAGCACAACCGTATATCAGTTAGTTTAGTTCATCCAATGTGATCGGGCTGCCAATATGGTTCTCAACTCTACGAACACAATCATTCCATGTCTGTTTACTTCTCGGAATAGCCTTAGACACTATATTTCTGTACTCGTAACTCGATAAAATCATCTGAGCCAATCCCAGATAACAATCTTTGCCAATCTTTAATAGATTACGACAACATTTATTTGTCAATATTTGAGTTGTCTCAGACACCGTGGTCTTCAAAACATTATCTCCACAGTCTGATGAGTTCAGCTTTTGAAAGCAAACCTCGAGAAAACCGAGTTGTTTGTCCGTGTAATCATGTCCATACTTAATCTCATATTCCATTGCCGGTGTATAAGCTTCTTCAAATGGAGATTCCTCGGGAGATTCAACGTAAATATCAAAATCAGATGTAGGAGATATCTTCACATCTTCTGGTACCTCTAGTGAATATTGATCAATTTCTTGGGAAGCAGTTAGATGTAACGTGAAGAACATTACTACGGATACAAATATTGTAATGTGAAGAGACTTTTCCATATTTACTTTTGATATTAGTAGATGTTTGATTAGTATCAAGAAACGAGAGATCTTATAAAGCAAGAATATGGTGATTTGGGGAAGCATAATTAATTAATAAAACGTTTTCATAATGTTATAACTTTATGTTATAATTTCATTAATCACTTTATGTTATAACTTCTTAAAATTCAGCATTTAATAGTTATGTTTCAAAAAGATGCTTAGACTTTATGGAAAACAAGAGACAACACTACCACTATATTCAAATTATTACAAATCAAAGTGATATACTAGACAACACACACACGGGTACACATCAGATTAAGAAAATAAAAACGATTAAAGAAAAGGTATGTTTCAGTTTTAATTCGTTTAACGAGATTTTGAACTTAAGCTCTTCCTTTCAAGACATGTTTTCTTAAACCGGGAATGTGAACGTTTGTAATGTAATCTTTCCAGTTAATGTTCCCAACATCAAACCCAAACTCATTCTTCTCTGCTTCAGACATATACTCCATTAACCTCTGCGTATTGCTGTTATCAAATCTGCAACAAAACACACACAAAAAAATGATTCAAAGTTTGTTGGTTTGGTCTTAAAACTATAATGTTGTTTGTTCTTTACCTTCCCCCATAGAAAGTGTATGGCTCATAAATAGTAGCAAGATGTTTGGCTTGTTCAATAGATTTTTTGCATATAAACTTTATCTTCTGCATCATCTTACTATCCACCGAGCTCACACCATTCATCAACCCACTCCTTTCTTGAGCATCTTTCAACAAATGATCCGAGAAATCATCAACGGAATCAAATAGTTTCATCAAAGGCACCATGATAGGAACACCTTTAGAGTCCATGCATGGTTTAGATTTGTAGTGGTTATAAAGAAGCTCTGCTAAGTCCTCGAAAACAAGCGGGTTTATCGCAGAAGAAGCGATCTGATACACATTTATTTCAGGTTCTTGATCAGTCTTTGCAACTCCATGCTTTGCAATAGCGGCTAGTGTCGCATTAACGACCATATCAGCAGGAACCACATCAAGAACTCCTTTCGGATCCACAAGAAACCCTGTGAGCTGTCCTTTTCCATAACATAGAACTATAGGATCCATCATCCTGAATTTTTAAATTGAGTAACTATCAGTTTTGTTATGTATACATTTTAAATTTATACACATATGGCATATAATAAGTTACCTGTTTCCTTCCATCCATCCAGGGAAAGGATCTTTGTAAGTGCTTTCGATGACGCTAGGTCTTATAATAACCACAGGTACATCCCCTCTAGTGCTATTGATCATCATTTCTCCCATTGCTTTTGTGAAAACATAAGTGTCTTGCCATCCATATGATCTTGCCCTGTTTTAATAATTAATGTGCTTAAAGGTTGTTGTGAATAATCATGGTGAAATGATCTTAGATTACTACCTTTCTAGACCAAGATCCTTCATCTTCTGAGCTTCTTCTTGATCTTGATTCCCTTTTCTTACAGCATCAATAGCTAGATTCATCTCTCTATCGACATCTAATGCTTTCCTGTTTCCTTCAAGGAAGTTCTCGGTTGCTATACAATCTCCCATAGAGAATGGCTTCTCCATGATCCTTCCTTGTCTTTGTCCATTCACATAAGCTGCACAAAGTTTTTATTTCAAATCAAGAAACCAAAATATTACTTTCTTTCTGTCTTGTTTTGTTTTGCCTGGTTACATACCTGTGGATACTTGCAAGAAAAGCTTGAGTTTCTTGCACTTCTTGGCGAATCCCATGAGGTTACCAGGTCCTCGTGTGTTTATGTCCAAAGCTACATCATATCTTTAGCCATGGAGACAATAAGATTAGCAAAACAAGATATTATTGCATAATCTAATAGTTGCATGCAAACCTTTCATTGAAGGTTGTATTGGCAGCAGAGTTGATAATCACATCAACTTCTTTTGCAATCTCCTCAGCTGAATCTGCTTGCAAGCCAATGTTTGAATCACATATGTTTCCCGTCACAGGAACGAGCTTGTCTAACATAAAAGACTGATAAGATGCTCCATGAGTCTCTCTTAGAGTATTAAAAAGCTCTGCATTTAACACCTGAAAAGCAGCAAGCTAATGTGCTATAGTTATGCACATAACATGTAAAAAAAACACAAGTAAGAATTAAAACAAAGATGAGTTACCTCATTCTTTAACCGCTCAACTGCAGCTTCTTTGTTTTTGGCTTTAATCAAGAGATATATCTTCCCAACATCAGGAGCCATTCTCAAGACCTTCTCAATCAATACTGGAGATATCACAAAGGAAGGTAATGTTAAGACAAAGTTTTTTGTAATATTATAAACATATATGTTAAGTATGTTTTGTACCCTTAGCTAAGAAACCAGTAGAGCCAGTGATTAGAAACTTCTTCCCTTGGAGAAAACTAACAATGCCAAGTCCTTCTTTACTCCCCACCTTAGCAGCACCACTAAAAGGCAACAAAGTCTTTACTCCATTGATCTCAATGGCTCTCCCATTATCATTTGGAGACAGAACCAATGTCTCAGCATCCATAGCTGGTGAACTTTGTTCCCTTATCAATACTTGACCTCTGTCTTTCAACAGAGAAGAAACCATTATAGACCTCTCTGGTTTGATGTTTCTCCCATCACCACCTACGCGGCACCAGGTGGGGCTTAGCCTCCTCTTATCCCTAACCAACGCACACCAGTCACGACGGTTGTGCAAAAGCTTGGTTGGTGAAGCAATGGAGGAAGAAGAAGAAGTCAAGAAGAGAGCTTCCATCACAAACTAAGAAACAAGAAATACAGAAAGGGTCATTTCTGAATCAAGAGTAAGAAAACGTTGACCTTGTACAAATCTTAACACACAAACTGTGTTTCATTATTTTTTTTGAGAAAATAGAAACTTGTTTGGTTGAGATATTGGTGACTTGTAACGTACTTAACCTAGAAAGCATACCTTTGGCAATGAGCAACGAGAATGTATACTTTAAGTAGAAAGAGATTAAGTAAACCAAGAAAGATTTAATCTTCTTGATATCTTATCGTTAGGAGACAAGTATGTGTGAGTTTTGTTTTTATAAGAGGAATGAAAGATTGGTTGGTTAGGTTCTAAGGACAAAAGATGATGAGAAATTTCCTGTTTTATAGGGAAGTAAATAATTTAAAAATTAAGTGAAACAAAAGATCGCCTTTACGATCTTTCTCTCCAACATTCACTCAGTTTCCTTCACGTGATTTGGGTTTCAAACCATAAAAAAAGAAATAAATAAATGCATCAGTTCCAACAATTACAAGTAGTTAAAAGAGCTTTGGTGATTTTAGAGTACGTTCCAGAGTTCATATGTAATGAAAATCCAAACTCTCTCGTGGTACAACACAATAGGAAGAAGCATAGATGTCACGCGTGAGTACATACACAAAGATGCCATTAAGTACTAAGGAAATGAAACCATACCATACATACGTTTGTCCTCTTAACTAGTTCCAAACTATGATTTATTATTTTCTCATACATGACTAACAAGTAGAGTGTGAGACCTCATCTCCATCTTCACATTATTAGGTCGTAGCAAATCACCGTGAGTATCCAGGACTCTGGCTTCTGCTTCTCGACTCATAGCGAGATCTTGAGCTTGACCTTGAGTACGATCGCCTCTTATCTTCCGGTGAAACAGATCTCCTGAAGTTGTATTAGAGAGTAAGAGTATGTTTAAGAAGCAAACAAAACACACACACTACAAAGTGTTTGGTTACCTTGAACGGCGCCTTTCATCATACGGTGAACGTGAATAGCTTCTCCTATAGACTGGCGAACGTGAATAGCTTCTTCTGTAGTTTGGTGAACGTGAATAGCCTGGAGACCTGGAGTAACCATATGGAGATCTTGTAGATGTCCTTCCCCTGAGATGGATCAATGTAACATATTCGTTAACTGTTTCAACAAGTGAAGTTGAAGCTAATAACACTAATCAACCACAAATTGAAGCTTCACCTTGATCGTTCTCTCATTTCGGAAGGCTTCTTTCTGTTCTCCTCTGCAAACACCACAGTGATTTCGCGGCCTAGAAGAACATAGCCATCCAAATGATATTTTGCATCTGCAGCATCAGCAGGATCATAGTACTGCACAAAGCCAAATCCACGAGGCTCCCTGCATGTCCACATTGTCACAAATTTAGACTAAAAATAACAAAATAAGTACCTTTTGATATGGCAATAGAGCTACAAAGAAAAAAAAAATTAAAATGAGGAACACAAAAAAAAGATTATGAATACAGCAAAGCAGGGCAACCAAAAAAATCAAGTACAAACAATCAGCCAGCTGCTAACCTTTAACTTCGACTTTGACCAGAACATCTTCAAAATGAAACTCAATCTGAAAGTACTAACCAGTCATCAACACTAATGTCACTTACCCTCTGTAGACCGAAACAAAGTATTCTTACTAGTTACTACTTCAATTTTTGATCTCATGCACATTAATCTTCCTACTTCTTCATCTTCAACACTTTGATAAACCAACACAATAATTACATTTACACAAAACTAGGACAGTAAGAGGTCACGCAAATGGACATAATTAGTAGGAAATATTGCCATCACTTACCCAGTGTAGTAGTTACGAGGTATATAGATATCCTTGAGACGACCAAACCGCCCAAATGGTCTACGCAAATCATCCGGCCTGTAATGGTTAAATCACACAATTTAAGCATTTGACAATATCAAAAGGTGGGAACCTTAACATTTCTTGTGTCTTAGAATCAGACAATCACACATTTCCAAAGAGATCTAGTTGTGTAATAATACCGACAGTCGAGGCGGAGATTGCGAACAAGGAGACTTGTAGGGGCATCTCTACTCCTACCTCTGTAGTATCCCACGGGACTTGGGCTTCTGTACCTTCTTCTTGGTGGTGGTGATGGACTGTAACTATAGCTCCTCCCCATTATCTCTACAAAACCAATATATCCATACATAAAGACTTCAAATTATTGACATGCATCAAATAACCAATAACAAGTTTAGTTGACAAACCGAATCTTCATCGATCCTTAATATATCCTTTGCATGTTCAAATTAACACTTTCTGATTCAAATTTACTAAAGATTTTCTTTTGAAACTAACTCACGTAGCTAAACGTAACGAGAAATCTGATGATGAGATAAACACATCATGATCATGAAGAATGACGAAACAATATAAATCTAACATGTTCGAGAAATAAGAACCAGGAACAAAAAAATTCGTCGCAGAAACAAACACGTTATATAATAACTAAGCATAAGAGAAACGAAACTAAACCTGAATCCGACAAGAGAAACGAAGCTCGTTTGCCTGTGCTCGTTGTTCTATCGCTCTCTCTCTCTTATTCAGACACCATAAAAGCTGGTCGTGCGTATTCGAGAATGTTCTACACTGGGCCAGCCTTTCTTTAATTGTATCTAAAAAGGCCCATACAGGCCCATTAAATGCCCACTTCAATTTCTCAGTTTTTTTTTTTTGGTTAAAGTCAGAACCGGTTGGTTTTACAAGGCTATTAAAAAAAAACTGGTTTAAATCCAGACCTGGCGGTTATCGAAAAACCCTACAAAACTATTTCTTCTTCTTCATTAACTCTAAAACCCTAAAGCCAAAGTTCCAATTTTTTTTTTTGCTTCCGCCATTAGAGACAATGGTGGCTCCGTCGAAAAAAGTTCAAAGCGGAAAACGTAATGATTCTACTAAAGTCTTCAAGCCATCGAAGAAACCGTTCAAGAAGACGAAGGACGATGTTGCTGCAAGGTCTGAAGCCATGGCTATGCAGCTCGAAGACGTCCCTGACTTTCCTCGAGGTTTGTTAGGCAAAGAGTATATTTAAGTAATAGGCAATTTTGTTGATGTTTTTAACTGATTTGGTTAGGTGGAGGCACTTCTCTGAGCAAGACAGAGCGTAAGAAAATATATGAAGAGGTGGACGCTGAGTTTGAAGCTGGTGATGAGCGTGTTGCTAAGAGGAGTAGTAAAGGAGGGAAACTTAAGAAGAGAGTACCTAGAGATGTGGATGAATTGGGGTCTCTTTTTGACGGTGGTTTAACTGGGAAACGGCCTAGATATGCTAATAAGATTACCGTTAAGGTACTGTAACTCGGAACTGTGTCTTTTGAATTGTTTTTATTAGTTTATGCGCCAAGTTTACTTTTTGTTACTCTTGTTGAGTTTATAAGTTAGTGAGTCAGTGAAGATTCATTTGCTCTCTGTATTATGGAGTTTCATAGAAGAAGTTTTCCGTGTGCATTGTATTAAACCTCTGAGTTTGATCAAGATGCTGTTTAATAGATGTATTATCTCATTACAGTAGCTAAGTAAATGTTCTCTGATGTTTTATCTAGGTAGATAGTTCTTAAATCAGTTGTGATTGGCTGTTTTCTTATGCTCGTTAACACCTGTGCACCGACCAATAACATTTTTTTGCTTTATCTTGGCATCCATTTATCCTCATAACTAAGTTACATGATGCTACTGTACTAGAAGCTTTTCTTAAGCAGATTGTATATGTTCTGACACTTAATGGCTTTATGTTCAGAATATCTCTCCGGGAATGAAGCTTCTGGGAGTTGTTACTGAAGTAAACCAGAAAGATATTGTAATTAGTCTTCCAGGGGGTTTACGTGGATTAGTTCGCGCAAGCGAGGCATTGGATTTTACGGATTTCGGAACTGAGGTAGTAGCTGTGGTTTACTATTGGCTGTCTAAATTCCCTCTACTTTGGTCATTTTTGACTCTTTTGCAGACTGAACTAAGTTGGTACTCCTTTTTGTCAACCAGGACGATGAAAATGAGCTCCTTCGAGACATTTTTTCTGTGGGCCAGCTTGTTCCTTGCTTTGTATTGCAGTTAGATGACGATGATAAGAAGGAGGCGGGAAAAAGGAAAATATGGCTTTCATTGCGACTTTCTTTGTTGCACAAGGGATTCAGTTTGGATTCCTTTCAACCAGGAATGGTATGTCAATGCTTGGTTTCATAATTTCTTAATCTTGGGAGCTCTGCCGTTGTGAATGTATTTGTGGGTACTGGTATTTAAGTATGTTTGCATAGCCAAAACGATCTTAATATCCAAAACTGAACGAGTTCATGGCTCATCAAGCTTTTTTAATTACGCTGCCTATGTTAGATAAGCTATATTGATACACTGTTCTTCTGCTATCTATGAACTGGGGTTGTACCTTTACCAACTCAATTTTTTTTGATGAAAATAATGGTCTTCCATTTCTTTTCCATAATGTTTGTTCAGGTAGTCTCTGCAAGCGTGAAAAGCGTGGAAGATCATGGTTATATACTTCACTTTGGATTGCCTTCCATCACAGGATTTATCAAAAAAAGCAAAGATGGTACTAAATCTCGTTGACCTACTGGCCTCTTAGTCTTTTATTCATGCTGGAACTTCCTGGCTCTCTGGTTTTCGATAATCTTAAAACTCTTTGTTTACCATTTTCTGAATTTCCAGGAAGCCAGGAGTTAAAGACTGGGCAGCTTATTCAGGGCGTGGTTTCAAATATTGATAAAGAACGGAAAATTGTTAATCTTAGCTCGGACACAGATTCAGTGGCAAAGTGTGTGGTATGCCTCGTACTTCCCAAATTGCGCTGTTAGAATTCTTTGATGTAAACAAAACTTAACCTCGCGAGTCCCATTTTGCAGACCAAGGATCTTAGTGGAATGTCGTTTGATCTTCTCATTCCAGGCATGATGGTTAATGCCCGTGTGCAATCTGTCCTTGAGAATGGGATACTGTTAGGATTTCTGATGTACTTTACTGGAACGGTGAGTTACCATGATTTAGTAGTGTGCATTATTGATTAAGCTGGAAGTATGTGTATTGTGTTTAAGCCTTGGTTACGTTTCTGAGTTACCTTTCTCATTGATGTGCAGGTTGATCTATTCCATTTACAAAATCCAATGTGTAACAAGAGTTGGAAGGATGAATATACTCAGACTAAGATGGTATGCATTGTTGAAGTGCTACGTTTTATTTGGTGTACAAGTTAGCTTGATTTACCATGGTTTTGGAAGTGTTTAACTACTAATTGTCTTGCAATGATTCCTTTGAATTTTAGGTTTATGTTCTTTGCTGAGAGATATTTTTCTCCTTTTGGTTAACTTGCATAAAATACTTTTTCAGGTCAATGCTAGAATATTGTTTATGGATCCATCAACTAGAGCTGTTGGTTTGACGTTAAACCCACATCTTGTTGGTAACACGGCTCCTCCTTTGGTAAGCGAATGACTTGTCTATTAGCTTTTAGTAAAATATAATGGTGATAGATCGTAAGAGAAACTCGATTGGGTTGCTACTTTTGGGGTTTCAATGATCGTTCATTAATTGTAGTACCAGCGTTTCCCGCATGCACTGTTTCACTACTGTTTTACGTACTCAAGCTTTGACTCGAATGCTCATCGACTATCTTACAATATTGGTTCATCATTTTGATACCTTAGCCGAGCATTTTTTTCATTGAGTTAGGTCTTCGTGGAAGTATCTGCAGTGGCCTATTGATACCCTTTCATAAATTATATTGTTAAACTTGTGTTTGGTTCTTTACAGCATGTCTCTAGCGGAGACATATTTGAGGAAGCAAAAGTTGCCCGTGTTGATAAATCAGGCCTTCTTCTTGAACTCCCTTCTAAACCTGTTTCAACTCCAGCATATGTTAGCGTATGTCCAATTGGCTGCTCTTATTCTTCTAAAATATTTAGGGTTCTAAAAAAACCAAGCCTGCTCCTAACCTATATTTCGTAACTGCAGACGTATGACGCTGCAGAAGATGAAGTAAAGAAACTGGAAAAGAAGTTCAAGGAAGGAAACCACATCCGTGTTCGAATCCTTGGCCTTAAGCAGATGGAGGGGTTGGCCATAGGGACTTTAAAGGTATCTTTACTACCAGAAGTGCTATTTGATTAAATTACCTGTAATAATGGTTGGCATGGGAAGCATCTTCCATTCCTTAAGAACTGATTCTTAGCATCGTACATTGGTATCTAAATGCTAGTTAAGCGGTAGTTTGATACAGAATCCTACATTTACGCCTCTTTCTCTTGGTATTGGTTTTGTATGAGCAGGAAAGTGCTTTTGAAGGTCCAGCTTTCACCCACTCAGATGTCAAGCCTGGTATGGTGACGAAGGCTAAAGTCATATCTGTTGATACATTTGGTGCCATTGTGCAATTTCCGGGTGGTTTGAAAGCAATGTGCCCACTTCGGCATATGTCTGAGTTTGAAGTTACGAAGCCCAGGAAAAAGTTCAAGGTCGGCTCCGTACATTGGCCCTACTTTAATTGGTTTGCAATGTTGCTGGGGCATGCGTAAATTTTGAACGCTTCTTCTTTCAGGTTGGAGCTGAACTAATATTTCGAGTGCTTGGTTGCAAATCAAAGAGAATAACTGTTACATGCAAGAAAACACTTGTAAGTTTTCTTATCATAGTGGATCTGACTTTGTTTCATTGTTTACATATTTCTTGATGTGTCTAGTTACTAAATTCGTTTTGATTATAAGTGTTTAAATAATTTCCGTCTTATATAATAGGTGATAAAATCATCTCGTTTCTACTATTGTTCCTTCTTTTATTTCCGTCTGACGATTCTAGGTTTCATTTATTACATTTGCTTTATTTCGGTTGAATGGAAACCACTTTCCTTAGCTTTTCACTTAGCTATGGAGGAAAAACATTTGTGGGAACTTTTTTCTCAAACTTTTGTCTTATTTGGAGTGAGAAAATCCCATTCAATTAATCGCGTCATACATAACATAAATGCTAAGATAACGTCTCTGGTTGTTACCTATTCAAGTCTCTTCTCATGCAGTGGAGGTAACATGTATATTCTTTTCAGGTCAAGTCTAAACTTCCGATTTTGAGTTCTTACGCTGATGCAACTGAAGGACTAGTGACACATGGCTGGATAACAAA